GTGTTTTTTGGAGCTGTTTTATGCTTGTGTTCATGTAAAATAGACAGACTTTAATACATGTACAAAACCCACACACATCTTGCATGTAAAAAGGAAAAACAACACAACCATTTTATGATGTTGTGTATATATAGACCAGTATACTGTATATAGTGTCCATGCTCCCACAGGTGCCAGCTTCTATAAGGAGGCCTCCTTGTCCCTACATATTCCAGTGATCCTGGGACCTGTATGATAACACATATCTTCTAAAAGTTACTGGTCACATGCTTCCCACTTAACTTTGGATATCTGTAAATGCACATGGATGCATATGTCACACAAACCACACAGTGACAGTGAAAAGGAAAAACTCCTTTTAATAGGATGAAACCTCCAGCAGAATCAGGCTCAGGAAGGGGCGGCCATGGGGGTGAGGGAGGAAGACCAAACCAAGACATGCTGTGGAAGAAAGCCAGAGATTAATAATGATGACAGAGAAGTCTATAACATGGTAAGTGAAAACGTTGTGTGAAGAAACTCAATTCATCATGGAAATCTCCCATCAGCCTAGATCTATTGCAGCATAACTAAGGGAGGATTCAGGGTCATCTGATTGAACCCTAATTATATGCTTTATCAAAAAAGTAAAGTTTTAAGCCTAATCTTAAAAGAAAAGACGGTCTCTGTCTCCTTAATATAACTGGAAGCTGTTTATGCAGAAGAGGGGTCTGAGAGCTGAAGGCTCTGCCCTCCCGTCTATTTTTAAATACTCTAGGAACAACAAGTAAGCCTTGAATCTGAGAGTGAAGAGCTGTAATGGCTACTACAAAATTATTAGGTTAAGATGTGACCTGATTATTCAAGACCTTGCATGTAAGGAGCAGGATTTAAAATTTGATTCTGGATTTATCAGGGAGCCAATGAAGAGAAGCTAATATACAGTAGAGGCTTTATCTTTTGTTTCCAACATATGTAATAATACAAAATAATACCAATTTCAGTCTCTTAAACCTGCTTTCTATAGAAAAAACTCTTTTTTGTTGTTATTTGTTTTTAGATGAAATCCTTAAAACAATTTAAAATGATATACACTTACAAAAACATTCTCTTACATGCATTAAAACATTTGGTTTACAAAACGAGTTTATTGCTG